AAAGTTCGTAGTTATTCTAATTCTAATTCTGATTAAATTTCTGGGTGGTATAATGGTGATCTAAATAGTGTGTACTCCACAATTTCTGATATTACTAACAAACTAAAATAATCCTTTTCTGGGTTAAATAGTGAGTACTCCACGGTTTCTAACAAAAAATAGGAAAAGACACATTAGTATGTTTTTATCTTTTGAATCTCTTTCTCTTTCTTACTGTTTATTCAATGTTACATGCTGATCTTATTTTTTCTCTCTTTAATATGTAAAGCACCTTGAAATGCCCTGCTGCTGAAATGTGCTATACAAATAAAATTTGATTGATTGATTAGGGCAGGTGACAACATTCAGACAAAACAAAGGGCAAAACAAAGACACGAGTGAAGGTGATGACGTTAAAGGGCCACGAAGGAACGTTCCTGAGTCCCTGGCAGAGTCCGATAAAGACGTTGTTATAAAGGCAAGACGTCCTTAGGAGCGTTCAGCTTCGCAACTCCACGGATACAGGCGGGGGCGAGGAGGGAAGACCGTTGTGTTTACATATCTTCAAGGAGATTGGAAATATGCAGCCCTTCCAAGGCCACACAGGGAAAGCCAATTCATAAACAGAATGTCTTAGGTCGGGAAGATTATAAATTTTAATCTTCCCTAAAGTCTCTCCGATACAACTCAATTCCCATTCATCCAAATTAGTTTGGTCGTTCCAAGATTAATTCCAACTCGTTAGTGAGTTTTAGAGTCCTCGTCTCTGTCCACACCAACAGTCTGAGTGTTTGCTAGTTCGGCCAAGTCCGTCACAAATTTGTCAATAAACCAGGAATTCACAAGCTCCAAACAGCAGAATTCCTGTTATCATGAATAAATCCAGGGTGAATTCTGCTGGGTGTGTCCCTGCAGGACAAGAGGGCTCTCCTGTGCCCAGACTTCTTGTTGAAAATTTGATCAATTGCATTGAGAAATCGGTTGACCAGATCCATAATTTGTAGATTTGGATGATGTACAAAGAAAGGCTCCAAAAATATAGAAAAAGACAGGACAAAAACAGAGCAAGCAGGGCAGGCATGGGAAGGGAGGGAGCAGAGGAAAAAAGCATCCGCCTTCATCAAGAGCAAGAGAGAAAGACTGATTTTTTTACTGGTTTCTCCAGTGGCAGACCATCTCCAGGAGTTGGACTCGTTGCCCATTTCAGATTTCCAAGCATTCTGATCATCCCAGAGTCCAATCCAGGCCCAGGAATAGGAAAGATTAGGTTGCAGCCTGTTAATGTCGTCCATGCTCTCAAACGTGGCCAAGTCGGCGTATTGCTCCCTGCAGAACTACTGAGCTTCCGGCCAGGTCACTGACTGGTCAACATAGCAGTACTTTTGTAGAGGGAACTGCAAGCAGGAGCCGAGGCAAAAACCTGAATATTGACCAAGAAAAGATGTGAAAAATGTAGTATTCTGCACCTTAGATACTAAGTGAATTGACACAATCTAAAATCCTACTAAAATCAGCCTCAAGAGGGCAATGTTTAGTTTATTTTAAATGCAACTTTTTGTGTGAAACCATTTTCTTTGCAACAAAAATCTTTTTTACAGTCATTAAAATTATTTTTCAGTTGTAGTATTTAATAAACTAACCAATAACAATTAGTACATTTCTCTAATTCACAAAACTACAACAGCTTATTGTAATATGGAACAGATTAGAGTAAATATAATAAAATTTGGCCAATGTTTTTAGAAAGAGCAAGAAAATTTCTGAGCTCAAACATAATTTTTTTAAACATTCAGAAAATTTAAAATTAATCTCAGAAGTGTTTAGAATAATTGCACAATAAAAAAACCATGGAAATTATTGAGTTTCAAATATCAAAAATGCTTGAATTTTGGAAATTTTCTGAGTTTCAAAGGTTGAACATGTTAAAAATAATTATTTTTAAAATTTCTGAGGTTAATTTCAAAATTTTAGTTTTTTGGTAGTACATTTTTTTTAATGTTTGAAACTCAGAAATGTCTGTATTTTCCTATAAAATTTCAAATCATCAGAAAGTTACTGGAATGTTTTTTAATTTCTGAGACATTTTGAAATTCCTAAAATTTACAAGTCAAAAATTTTAAAGTTTTTTTTCTAGTAAATTTCTGATATTAATCTTTAAATTTCTCAAAAAAAAAATTGTAAAAAAGTACTCATTTTTTCTATCTCCTGTGTCCATAATAAGCCATCGTATCAAACCTTCTCAAAGGAAACTCTGCTCCTGAAACTGTGGTGTCATTTTCCAACCCTGAAGCAATTCTCAAAAATAAAACATATTTGCATTTGAAGAAAAGAAGATGTAGTATTTTAGACCTTTTAAGAAAAGTGTCACATCCTTAAAGACCACTGCTGTTTAGTTAATGTAAAATCTTGTTTTTAAAAAGGTGTTTTTCCAAGTTACATCATTACTTTTTCTGTAACAAACCTTATGAATGTGGAACTGTCCAAAAGAGAGTGCTTCATGTCCAGGAATAATGAACAAAAATAATCAGCAAAAACTTAATTATTACTCACAGGATAAGCATATTTATTTATATATTTAGCAAAAGTTCAGATCTCTCACAATTTTTATTATCACAATTTTATGGTGGTTCCTACTCTAAACACAATATATAATGTATGATGTATAAAAAATGTAAATCTGTTTAAAAAGTTCCATTTTCAATCAACAAATACCGAAGCTTGATTCTATTGTCGAATCAGAATTTTAACATTTTGAAACAATTTGAAGTTTCGAAAAAACTGTCTGCCTAACTGTCTGACGGCTTAAACAGAAACCCTTTTGCAGCTGCGCTAATCTTACCTCTTTGCATGTTTCCTCAGGTTCTCTAATCCACCGGCAACCACGTTCAGCAGCATACACAAACATTAATGATCCTCTACTGTCATCTGAATCTCATTTAGTTTAGGCTGCATTCACACCAGCCAGGTTTTGGCCACTTTAGTTAGTTAATCTGGTTTGTTTTAGAGAGATGTGAATGTGAATAAAACTCTGATTTGGAACAAAAAAAGAACTCTGGTCCGTCTGAAAATCTAGTCCTCGGTTCGGTTTAAGTGAACTCAGTCACGATATGAATGCATATGATGGGCTGGTGGTCACTCCAAATGCAGAAAGATAATTAAAACGCAAAGTGTTCTGGGTAAATACAACCAATAATGCTAGCGGTTGAAATGAAATGGTTTGTGGCTTTTTACCCTGAAGCTTGTTGTCCAGAAACAATGAGGTGTTGTTTCTCAACAACTGCTAAGAGTTGTTGAGAAACAACAACCCCACTTCATTTTATATACATTTTGTGAAGAAGGAAGTTCTGCTCAATGTGTCTTCAGAAGTTTTCATGCGGTTTCCTTCAGTGGTTCTTGGTGCCTTGATGCCCCACGGCAGCTTTGGTTCCTGGTAATTTACCACCATCAGCATGTGAATGTGTGTAAATGGATGAGTGTAAAGCGCTTTGGACTTGATAAACAACTTTACAAATGGAGGCTCTGAGTATCTGCAGGTTCATTTTTATTATCTCAAAGAGACAAAGCTTTCAATTAAATCATTTTTTTCATCTTGAATCCATATGGAAAAAAAAATTAGAAAATAGAACTGAATGTGGAAAACAAAAATTCCCAAAGTCTGGATAGTTCAGCTGCAAAATCTGAATTTCTTTTATTAATTTCTTGATTCTAATCAATATCAATTGGTAATAAGTCTGATAGAATATTAAATACTCAATATATAACATATTCACTGAAAGCCGACTCATAACCGTACAGAATTCTGGGAGATGTGCAGATTTACAAGGTTGGTGCAATCAACTCACTCATTCTTTGGTTACCTAGCAACTCACTCATTCTTTGGTTACCTAGCAACAGCCTGTTGAGTAACTGGCACAGCAGCAGTTTAATGTTTCTCCACTGTGCCTCAGAACTGCTTAAAAATAAAAACAGTGTGAAATGAAAACTGGATAAAACAGGAAATGTCACGCCACCAGAACTTCACGTTTAAAACAAATAACTAATCAATTATATCGACTGATGTGAAAGGCTTAAATTGTGGTACCATCCAGCCCTAAATGTTAATATAACAGTTACAAACTGTATATTTTTGAAATGAGTCTTTTTGGGGATTTTCTCACAAATTTTCTACTTTTGGAGCTCAGAAATTTCCTTGATTTTTTTTTTAATTGTCTGAAATTAATTTCAACATTTCTGAGTTTTTTGGTGGAAATACACTTCTCTTGATATCTACAATGGCCGTGGTGCACAGTCATACATTTCATAGTTTCACATAAAAATACAATTATTTTTCCCATTAACATATTGTACACATAAGTTATTGCCTAACGTACATACCTTGAAAAATTAATGAGCCAGATCTCATTTAAAGAACAAGTTTCTATCAACAAGGAAAAAAAGTAAATAAAATGTCATAAAATGCAGGATATAGAAACCACATTCAAAAAGATATAAAAGTGACTGATAAAAACAACATAAAAACTCTGAACTTCTAAAAGCACTTCAGAGGCTTAGCCATAAAAACAAATAAGTAACCAAAGATAAACATAAACTAATTAAAATAAAACTACTAGAGCAAAAAAGCTTTTAATTTGCTATAAAATCTACCTCACCATGAGAACTTATGGGATTTAACTTAAAATGCACATTGAGTTTAAGTTCTTACCCAAGAACAGAAGAGTCCTCAGAGTGAAACTGTGATCCATTGCTGAACTTTCTTCAAACAAGAACAAGTCATTTTACATGCTCTGTGAATAAACTTAAACATTTCTTTAAGTTTATTCTACCTTCACTGGAAGAAGCTAAAAATTATCATGATTTTAAATAAAATAAAAGCAACCAACAGTGGTTCAAGTTCTGTACAGACTATAAATATGCAGAGAACATTAATCACACTGATGTCCTGTACTTTCATTTCTGTCCTTCTTTCTTGGGTGTAATCTTCCACTGTATTTTGAAATCAGTCCATCCCTGACTTGTCAGTAAGGCGCCAAGCTGTGGAAGGGCAAAATGTGTTAAATTCCTGTTTGATGTGATGAACCAAAAGGAGGTCAGAGAGTCTGGAGTACCTGCTGGAGGAGCTGGGCGCTGATGTCCGGATCCGTCAGGTCGGCATCGGTCACAGTCGTCATCTTCACAAGGCTGGCCGTCTTTACCACTGAGCAGAAACAAAACTCAGTGTCACAAAGGAGCAGCAAATGATGCTGATTTTAAAGTTACACACTAAAAAACTAACAGCAATATTTTGGTTTATTTAGTCCGTCAGAGAAAACAGAATGTGGATGTTCATTTTTCAAAGTCATATTTTCACCATGTTATTTACACATTTATAAATGTCAAAGTTCCAAGGTAAATATTTAATTTACAAGCTAAATATGTAGTTTAGAAACTATATATTTAGGTTATAAAACTAAATATTTGATTTACAAACTATATATTTAGTTTAAAAAACTAAATATTTTGTTTACAAACTATTTAGGTTTTAAATTAAATACACAATTTGATTAAGGAAAGTACAGTATTTAGTTTTAAAACTAAATGTTGGATTCCAAATTAAATATTGCTAAACTAAATACTGATTTCCAAAGTAAATTAAAATATTTAGTTTGCATTGATTTAACTTTCAAATTAAATATTTAGTTTGCAAATTAAATGTTTTGTTCCAAACATAATATTTATTTTCTAAATAAATATTTGTTGGAAGAGAGTATATCTTTAATTTCAAAGACATACATTTAGTTTGCAGATCATATAGACAGCTTTCAAATTATTTAGTTAGGAAGCTAAATATTTAGTGTGTAATTGAAATATTTAGTTCAGAACTAAATGTCTAAGTCTGAGCTAAATATTTAATATTCAAAATAAATGTTTGATTCGAAATGAAGTATTTATTTTTGCTAAATATTTATTTCTAAAGTAAATATTTAATTTGAAAGCTAAATATTTGGTTTTCAAGCTAAATATTTAGTTTACGAATTAAATATTTTGTTTGGAACATATGACTTTGAAAAATTAACTTCTGAATTTTGCATATGGCTAAATAAAGGCTAGATAAACCAAAATGTTGCTGTTAATTTTTTACGCTGCTACGTTTCTGATCACCTTGATGGCAGATGAAAACATGGGGAGCATCACAGTTCGCATCACTCCACTCATGTAAATCATTCTCAGTGACGCAGTGCAGAGTACCAGCGCTGTTTGTTGGGCTAGTAGAGGTCC